ATTAAAAAAATTAATAATAATTATTTCTTCACTAATCAAAACACATTCATTAAGTACTTTTCAACACTTTTTATCTTATTAACGGTTTATAATTTTCCTCTAACCATTTAATTAACATCGATTTAAGAAGATAAACGCTAAAATAGGTGTATGGAATTGCAGAAGAGGCATTTACGGCATTTAGCATTGCATCACTGAGATAGATTAATTAACAAATTCCCGAGGAACACCTCTTCTCCTTCAAATTCCCCCTTCGTCTTACTTGTTCTTAGACATTTACTCCCTATAGAGCGTTATCTCACAATTAACCCTTTACTAAATACCCTCGACCACTAATCTCCATCCAAAATCTTATTAAGAAGATTCTAAAATGAGGTTGAGGTCACAAATTATATTAAAGTAATAAATTATTTTAAAATATCTTAATGTTTTTAAAACCGTGAAATTGATGTGAGGAATTTATGTCTTGGTGATTATTAATTAATCGTTTTACGGGGATGATGTTGGATCAGATTGGGATCTTTGTATTAACTGGGCTGTCTCTCTAGAGTAGAGAGAGTAGAGAAGCACAATGTCTTGACGTTATATATCCCATTTGGTGATGCCGGTACGGGCGAACGGTTCCCGGATAATAGTTTCTAGAGATAGATAATAGGAACGAGCAAGAGATAACGACGTGATTATAATGCGATTTCTAAGTGACAATAGAAGGTACTCTCTATTCTCCTCAATTAGATTTTGAACTATTACGAATTATAGTAATGAAATGATAAAAATTTCACTTAAAATTTTACTTTTTAGTGACTAATTTGATTTCGTCCATAAACTATGTTTGTGGAAGGTGAACCGATAAAGACAACGGGATATATGACGTCACAAAACGTCTACATAGCAATTTCACGAAAATCCACAAAGCACCTATTACTGCATTCTGAGTTTTGCAGTTTGAGAACATTTCTGCAAAGCAGACTAATTGATACAAATAAACTTATGAGTTGCAAGGAACGATTTCTAAAGTAATTAGGGTTATTTCTAGAGTCAGTTCATTTGGAAGTATATTATCAAAAATCTTGAATTGGTCCCCAACAAAATTTTATTATAGCCACCATAGCTCAATAATTTGCAATGATATGAAACTTTTTTTAAAGATTTTTGCATTATTAATTTTACATCAATCCATAGAAACCAATCAAATGTTAGTTCTAGTGACAGTGCTAGGTAGCGCTAGTTAGCATTAGATATCAACCGCGAAGTTAGCCCCCAATTAGATAGGATTTTACATGTATAGTATTTTGATTATAACAAGAGAACTAGTCAACCGATTTCGATAAACAATGTCTCATTCGAAAGCTTAATCTTTGGCTAATACGAAAGTGGAAATGCCCGATTCGAAATCTCTTTCGAATTCCGCTAAAACGCCAAAATAATGCGAAGGTACACGAAAACAACACAAAAATGACCTTTTTTAAATGGTGATAACTCGTAAACGATGTACCCGATGATCAAGATCTATACGTCATTCGATTCGTCATAGTTTCTTCTATCGAAACCATAAAATGCCCGATTTCAATTCTACAGCTCTCGGAATGACACCGTGTTCCGTGTGGCTCGTTGTTTATGCACGTGTGAACGCCCGAAAGTCTAGCCCCCAATATAAAAAAATTAATTTAAACTAAATCGACTATACGAATTTGACGGATTTTAATGATTTATATCTCAATTAAAAGTGTGTGTCTGGCCGAACGCGGTTGTCGAAATGCCCGATTCTAAATATTTAAGGATTTTGATTAAAACATCAAAAACGAATTAATCAAACACATCAATTATCTGCTTAACTAATTGACCAATTTTAGTCATCAACATCTCGATCGAAAGTATGATCTACAATGAATGCGAAGGCGGAAATGCCCGATTTCAAAATTTACTAATTACCTACGTACGGTTATTTAAATGAGTCCATGTATCTACTGACTGGAACTCTAGCCCCCAATACGAAAAAATTAATTTTGATTAAATTCGCTATAACTAAAGAATGGTTTGACCGATTTTAATGATATATATCGCAAATGAAAAGGTTGCGTCTGGCTGAATGTAGAAGTTATAAACATTAAATTAACAAGGTGTATATGTCGTAGGCATATTGCGAAATCCGGCTTATTACAATAAGCGCCGTCATTTTGCAATGTGCCCGGCAAATTGGAAAATTATCTCACATTTTGTAAACAGCCTGAAATTTTTTAGGCTTATTACAATAAGCCCACGAACCATCAGTCCAATTGGAAAGTGGACAACTGTTTCTTTAAAAAGCCTGGTTTTATTGAGGCTTTTTGCAATTAGCCTTACAGTCGACGGCGTATTAAGAATAAGCTAGGGTGGGGTTGTTGTGATCAAAGCATCATACTTGTTGAAACGTGTGCGCCGCAGTAGCATCGCATATTGTTCTTGGTTTTCTTATAGGTTAGTTTAACTATTGTTGCAGTGCAGTCAAGGACAAACAACTAATAAGGTAAACAAAAGTNATTTTAGCAAACACTTGTTGTTTAATAGAAATGCCTTTTGAAATGGCAAAAGTGATATATTTGCATTAACAGCTTCAAGCAACCACATTTGTTTTTCCAAATCTACTCCAAATGCGTTAGACTGTTTTGAGAATTTCATGTTTGAGTTAAAAACATCAAACCAATTATTAAAGAGTCCTACAATTTTATGTATATGTCGTAGGCATATTGCGAAATCCGGCTTATTACAATAAGCACCGTCATTTTGCAATGTGCCCGGCAAATTGGAAAATTATCTCACATTTTGTGAACAGCCTGAAATTTTTTAGGCTTATTACAATAAGTCCACGAACCATCAGTCCAATTGGAAAGTAGACAACTGTTTCTTTAAAAAGCCTGGTTTTATTGAGGCTTTTTGCAATTAGCCTTACAGTCGACGGCGTATTAAGAATAAGCTAGGGTGGGGTTGTTGTGATTAACGCATTATACTTGCTGAAACGTGTGCGCCGCAGTAGCATCGCATATTGTTCTTGGTTTTCTTATAGGTTAGTTTAACTATTGTTGCAGTGCAGTCAAGGACAAACAACTAATAAGGTAAACAAAAATAGAAGAGCGTGAAACGTAGGTAGAAATGTAGAAAGTTTATCGATTAAAGGGGTGTCTAGCTGTTAATTTCAAACACAGTTGTTAGGTATAGTACAGTAGTTTATTGAAACAAAACGCCGTATTTTATTGGTTTTAACCGTTACATAACTGTTTCCTATGATTTACTAATATATTAGGTAACCAAAAAAGTTCGTGCCGTTAAATTATAAAGGTTTTATAATTTAAATTTACAATAGTTTTTAATGTTTTCCCTCCTTATAGCCCTAATGATGTCTGCAATAATTGTAGATGAAAATTCGGCTGTTTGTTTCTATAAACTGATTGTACTACATCTAACAACTGTGTTCGAAATTAACAGCTAGACACTGCTTTAGTCGATTAACTTTCTACAAATAACTACATATTAAATTTAAAGTCGTACTTATGTTAACATAGGTGCTTGCAGTATGGACGACAATATCCAAACTGATGGAACTGATTTCCAGGACGAAAATAACATGAGAATAAACTTTAATGCGCAAATGAAAGATACTGCAATAAGAGTGAAAATATCGTAAAGAAGCCTTGGTCAAAAGCAACTGTGGAAGAAGCAATTCGAGAAATTTTGGATGCAAATAACCCTAAAAAAAAGAAAACTAGTAGACAATATGGATTAACCAGAAAATACGACACAATGGAGATTGGCGAAACAAGAGTTTTAATCAAAAAAAGAAAAAGTAATGAGGATCCTGTAGTAGTAATGATTCCGGTTGAAGAATACTTTGACAGACTTCTTCAATGTCACCACAAAATCTGTTCGTTGCGACCATGGTTTACACACTTTTCTGACCTGCACTAAGTTGACATGACATTGCACTTATTTACACTTTATTGCACTATGACGTCATACTAGTGCTATGTCGTGCAGAGTAGTGCAGTCCCAACGAACAAAGCTTATGAGTTTCTATTGGTTTACGTATATAAATGAAAACAGAAATGACAATTCTTCCAATGACGTCACAACAAGGCCTTTGTCTATGGGCCTTTGCGGAGGGGATACGTTCATAACAACAGCGTTCATAGGGAGTTGGATAACCTTATACAGTATGTTTACTCAACGGACCTTGGTTACATCCTTGGTTTGCTTTGAAACTGTCACACCGCAAGCGCTATCTAACGGACAATTTAATTTGTTTCAGACTGTGCACTTCCTGGCACTTCCTACGTCACAGAAAAGCCGCGAAATTATTTCGATTGAATACTTGCTATTTTCCACTTCAAATTACGCAAAATATAAAATTTATCAAAATATTTTCTTTGCTTTGTGTTCATACATATACTTGCATATCTCGTTTTACGTAAAAATTTTCTCTAAATTTAATTAGTGCGTATGAGCCTATTAGAGTAACAAAGAAAATCTGTTTTTCCAAGTTTTCCAGTTTTTTAATGTGGGGCTATTCAAAAAAACCGTTTTTTCGGTTTTTCTCGCCAAGTTTTTATTTTTTCTATTTGTCGCTTTGAAACAATGTAGAACAATTCTAGAACAACAATGAAAAATCAAAAAATGGGGGGCTAACTTCCCGCACTCGCGTCAAGGCCTGTAAAGACAAGGAAGCTTCCTTTGAGTTTGAATTAGGAATGGTGGACGAATCTACCTTGGAATAATAATTAAGTTATTCTGTTGTCATAGCGCAAGAAGAGGGGTAACTTTGCAGACTTTAGAAATAAGTAATTAGTTTTTTCGTGTTTTTTCCTTTTGTACCAATCATATCGTTGATTGGTATTACGAATGAATGTTGAATGGAAAGGACGTTACTGATTAAAATAAACGACACAAGGTCAATCCTTCGTTTTATTTCGCTCCACTCGAACATAACAGACAGGATAAGGTGCGAAGAGGGTAATTAGGTAAACAAATAAATATATCATAACATTTATTAAGTTTTTTCAAGTGGATTCATTAAATACACAACAACAATATATATTATATTAATTATACAAAGAATCATGAATCGTTAATCCATTAATCGCAATCAAGTCGTCAACATTAATTTTTGCTTCAATTCTACAACGGTTGTTTATGCGGTTGCACCACACGGTCATTGAAGAAAATTTTGCAGCTTACAACAATCATATTAGATGTAAGGAAACTGTTTAAAGTCGTGGAAGTAGACGGTCTATCGAATGGATATCCCATAGCTCGTTTGTCCGGGTATTTCCGGTCCTTAACTCCACAGTAACTCATAGCATCCTTACATTCGTTGCTGGATGTTGTTTCACCAACCTTCAATAACAAGATACGAATATAAAAATATTAGAAAATAAGTGAATTAAAAATTTCTTTACTTTATCTAGCTCATAATCGGAAATCATCACGAATAGTTGACATCTCATCCCTCCTTCGGTCCCTTTCGGTATCAACATGTGTTCGGGCCAACCACACCGACAGTAATCAGAACGAGCCGATTGTGTAATTGAAGAAGTCGTCTCGTTATCGAACGTTTTATGGAATGGAATCGTAACGGAGGACTCCTTGGAGTGGCGTTTTATCGTGTTGGGACCTTGTTTGACTAAAAATAATTAGTAAATTAATTAAAATTAAATTACTAAAAGGTTTTTAAAGTATTTACGCGCGACAGTGAATCGATCTAATTCGATAAACATCGTTCGTTGATCTCTAAAGACAAAATCAACTTTTCGTTCATCTTGTTGGGGTGCCAAAAAGATGCGACAAGTTCCCATGCGTTCTCCTCCGGTATCGTTGGTCACGGTGATGTTATAAGTAAAAGGTTGGTGTTGTAAATGGGTAAAACGCGCGTAAACTGAGCCCCATTTGCGAAAATCTAATCCCCGGGATAATTGGAGATCCGATTTTTGCCAAAATGTGTATAAGTTGTTTTTCACCCCATTAGGGGCTTCCACGAAGAC